GAAAGTGATATGGTAATAACCCTTGAAATCATTATATAATATAAAAAAATAAATTATCCACACTATCGACTAAGAGTTTATATAGCATAGTCTCAAGCATTTCTTAAAAGTATGTGGTTAAAATGGTTTTTAAGTTTCCCTAACTAGACTTGTGTTGGAGTATCATTAATTTCAGTTGAAGAGTTAGCTGGAAGGTATTCGTAAATTAGTATTTCTGAAAGTCGAAGAGGGCTTGCTTTGAAGCTGTTACTGTATATTTGTGCAAATAAGTCTTCGACTTATCGTCCCTCAACCACGATGAATCCTTGTTGCGTTTTCGTCCGTCATGTAACGGTCATCTTCAGAGCAAAAAAAACATGCTTTATGATAAAGTGACCAAATACATAGACAAGAAATCTAACTCGCTGTAATCCTACCTATTTTTTATAGGTAGCCTCACTAAGTGGACATAGGTAGGCTATCAAAAGTAGTTAGAGTCACAGCCGACTACCTTTATGGTCTTTGTACCTATATAATTTGTTGTATAACATTATGTTCGGCTTTTGACGATGCTTATCACATGAGGGACAAACGCCCAGCAAGGATTTATCTGAATTCCTTAACGATTGGCCGAGAACTTGTTCTCACAAATCTAGTCACAGCACTAAACAAACCCCCAATTTCGGGTGAGACCAAGTTACAAATACCTCCCACTTGCTTATTCATTAGAAACGAAAGGTACTCCAACATTATTTAAAACCGTCAACTTATAACACTAATTTTGATAGTAAGAGTATAAAACTTATAGAAAAAATGGTTTTTTTAAGCAAACAGATGATCCTTGAATTTAAAGAATGACACATTTTTGTTTAGCAAAGAGGCGATATTTTAAAGTAATGGATATATTCCAAATTGATGTAGTCCGGAGCAATAAGGCCTGAATTCTCATCCCCATTTTCATCCGATAATCCTATTTATCCTTATATGCTACCTGCCTTCCAACTTTCTTCTGCGCTGGTTCCCTTAAGAATTGATCGCAAAATGAGTAACATATAGAAATTACTAGTTTACATTTCTACCTAACAATCAAGATCTTTTGAGTTCTTACCAATAACCAGAGCTCTCTGATAATTACCACCAGGTTAAAAGAAAAGCACGATTTTGTTGGTAAATTGCCTACAGGTAATAGCTCAATAGCAATTGGGATTATGATCATATTAACAGCATATCTGAGTGTAAAATGCTTCAAGACAAACGATTGTGAGGATTAACTTGCATAAAACTGCTATACAGTCTATGAAAGGTTTTACCTTATTGCTTTTAATTTGAGGAAACGTTGAGTCGAATTGCGTGAATAGCATTCTAGTTAATAATACAATCAATATTAAATAATATAATTTTAGTAACTTTATTTTGTATAAATATTTTTTTGTAAATGATATTTCCAGACGGTTATTATTTGCAGATATAACTACCCTATTCACTAAATACCGGGCAGTTTGCGCACTTGCGTTTCTCGGCGGCTTATTCGTGCCCCTCCTATCACCCTCCCTTAATTATGGGTCGAATTAATATAAAGGGTGGTGTTTGGAGAAATACGGAGGTAAATTTGAGCCATTTCACGATGCTCTTGTGTAGGATGAAATTCTTAAGGCCGCTGTAATGAAATATGGCAAAAACCAATGGGCACGCATTGCTTCGTTGCTCCATAGAAAGTCGGCAAAACAATGTAAAGCTAGATGGTATGAATGGCTGGATCCAAGTGTTAAAAAGACTGAATGGAGTCGTGAGGAGGATGAAAAGCTTCTTCATTTAGCAAAATTGATGCCAACCCAATGGCGGACTATCGCGCCTATTGTTGGAAGGACAGCCAATCAGTGCCTAGACCGTTATGAGTATCTTCTGTATGTCTACAATTATTTAAATTGATAAGTAACTTATAGAGATAAAGCACAAAATCGTGAGGGGCTTTCTGCAGAGGAGGATCCTAAACGCCTCCGGCCTGGGGAAATAGACCCTTGCCCCGAAACAAAGCCTGCTCGGCCGGATCCAGTTGACATGGACGAAGATGAGCTTGAAATGCTTTCAGAAGCTAGAGCTCGTTTGGCAAATACACAGGTATTTGCCTTTTGTTACTATTGCAAATGTTTTTGCCTACCACTTCATGCGATATGTTTTTTAGGGCAAAAAGGCGAAACGTAAAGCCAGAGAACGGCAATTGGAAATCGCAAGAAGAATGGCCATGATGCAAAAGAGGCGTGAATTGCGAGCAGCTGGAATCGCAATCAAGCCAATTATTAATCAGAAAAAAGTGCCTCAAATTGATTACAATGCTGAAGTCCCTTTCGAGAAGCAACCACCCAAAGGCTTTCATGATACGAGTCAGGAGACACCCGACATGGCTAAGACAAATTTCGATAAACTTCGCTTATCGGATGTGGAAAAAGAAAGCTATATGGAACGTGAAAAAGTTAGTAATTGTCGTCTATCGAGTATGCATAGTATTTTTTCTAGGATTTGTCCATTATTAAATTATGACCTTTCTTTTTTTTTCTCTTAGCGTGAGCGGAAAAAGGATGCAGAAAGGCAGTCTAAGAGAAAAGAAAATGATTTGCCAGGTGCTCTTTTGGGACGCGTTGATGAACCGGCGTCTAAGCGCTCAAAGTTGGTTCTTCCAACACCGCAGGTCTCCGATCGAGAGCTAGAAAGTTTAATAAAGGTTTGTCACTATATTTAAATTGATATTTTTCATTTTTTCTCAAGAAGCGTTTATGCCACCTCAAGATTTATCACTCTTACTTAATCTTCGTTCTCCATATTGAGTTTATGCTTCAAATTCCACACATTTTTATTATGAACTTTTCATAGAAGTGTTTTCTTTTACCTTCAATCTTGCAACGTAGCCTTTTATTATAAATCAGGTTCGGCACCATTGTTCTGCATCCTTTTTAGTCTCTATCGTTACTACTGAATGCT